CCTGGTTGTGAGCAGCAAGGGCGTACCTGGTTGTGAGCAGCAAGGGCGTACCTGGTCGTGAGCAGCAAGGGCGTACCTGGTCGTGAGCAGCAAGGGCGTACCTGGTCGTGAGCAGCAAGGGCGTACCTGGTCGTGAGCAGCAAGGGCGTACCTGGTCGTGGGCAGCAAGGGCGTACCTGGTCATGAGCAGCAAGGGCGTACCTGGTCATGAGCAGCAAGGGCGTACCTGGTCGTGGGCAGCAAGGGCGTACCTGGTCATGAGCAGCAAGGGCGTACCTGGTCGTGAGCAGGAAGGGCGTACCTGGTCGTGAGCAGCAAGGGCGTACCTGGTCGTGAGCAGCAAGGGCGTACCTGGTCGTGAGCAGCAAGGGCGTACCTGGTTGTGAGCAGCAAGGGCGTACCTGGTCGTGAGCAGCAAGGGCGTACCTGCTAAGTTGGTCATTTACGTTTACGTTTACGTACGTACGTGTACGCGTACGTACGTTTACGCGGCTGTTGGGTTGGAGGCCTAATGTACGGGCAGGTTAAAAGTTTTCTGGGCTGCCCGAATATGTATATTTTTTCTGTAGTACTCCCTCGTGATTATGATTTCCGTCATATAGTGTAAACATTCCATTACAACCTCGTAATTTCCCAAATAATTAAATAACCACCATGCATGCACGAGTCGTGCAGAATATCATATCATCCTCACTCCATAGGCTCTTCCGCTTCCTGGCCATCAAGATATGCCTCATCGGGGATGTCGTCGTCATCGAGATGCCCGTAGCTGTCAGTAGGTTCCTCCTTCACTTGCACCACAGGAAGCCCACTCACCACCAGCTTCTTAGCAAGATCTTCATTTAACTTCTTCACTGTGTGATAGTTGTGGCTCACGTATACCAGGTCGGCAAGGCGTTTCGCTCCAAGGCGATTACGACGAGCTGTATGGATTGACTCCCAAACGGCCCAGTTCGTCTCGCACGGGGAGGCCGAGACGCATTGCTTGAGAACTCTTTTTGCAAGCTTGGAGAGGTGTGGCACGTCCGTGCCATTGAATTCCCACCAATGCGCCGAATCCAAAAGCCCAGCTTTGATGAGTTCATGCTCATCACGCGCTTTCTGCTCCCCAATGTCTCCCTTCCCCTTGATGTACGTCAAGACCTCTTTTTCGACGATGGTTGCGAGTGGCGCCGTCACCCCTCCCACTTTCACGAATTCACCCTTGTAGTAATTGCGAATGAATTGCTTGAAGATCTTGGTACACTCCACGTCCGTTCCAAATATTGACTCGTATTGGTTTGGCGGGTACAGAATCCGTCCGACCACGTGAAGCGCGCAGTTGATGTCGTTGTTCCACCGATTCCGCACGATGTCGGTCACATCCTCCTTCTCCTCGGTCAGCTCCTTACACGCCTCATTCACCGCGTCCTCCAAAACAAACATTTTGTCATAGATCTTGCCCATCACCTCCTGATTGCCATCAACATTCCGCAACAGCTTGTAGACCGGACGAAGCACATCGAGCACCGTCCCAACGCGCGTCCAGAACTCCTTGTCGATAATAGTATCCCATGCGTCCTTCATTTTCGGCTTCCCCTTGACGTACTCCTCCCAGTCCTCACTCGACACCAGCTTATCGAGAGTTTTGCGCACTGCCTGCAGGCGTTCGAGGGCGATGTAGTTTGTTCCAAAACGGGTGCCTGCAGGTTTCAAGATTTGTAGCGCCTTCTCCTTCCGAAGAACCCCCGTAATCCAGTGCGCGTTCTTCAGCGTCGTAATTAGCTGTTGCGCGCGGTCAATGGTATCCTTGGCCCAATCGAGTTGGCCAATGTCCTTCATCATTAGATTGAGAGAATGCGCACCGCAACGAATCCACTGAACTTTTGGGTACTCGCGGGCGATGATGCTGGCAGCATTGACATTCGCGGACGCACCGTCCATCAGCAGGCCGACAACGTTCTCCGTTCCCACCATGACCATTGCCGTCTTCAAGTGGCCAGCAATGAATTCTGCTCCCTTCTTCTCCGTGCCGCAATCCACCCCAAAAAGAAAAACGGATGCAATCGTATTAACAGCTAAGAAGTTCAGCTGCGGACGTCCTTCGCTGTCGGTCCAACCGTCACATGCGATGCATACCCTGACATCCTTCCATGAATCCTTCACCTCCTTCAACGCAGCGTCGGTGTTCGCTTTGCACTCCTCCAACAATCTTCCCATTATGAGCCGTCGTCCTGGAGGTGTAAATCCTGTACCAGCAGCAGCAACCTTTTTCAGCATCGTCTTGAAAGCATCGTGCTCCGCAACATTCGGCGCGATACGACACACGTGGAAAAACGTTGCGATGGCTAGTTGCGCACTCGCCGCGTCGACGGGTTTGGGGCGAGTATCCATAAGAGTACGCTGCGTTGCCTGTCTCTTGCGCGCCATTGTGCTACTTTCCGCTAAGTTGGAGCCACTCGCCGCCATGCCCGTCGACTTGGTGTTCGTAGTAGACGATGGCGAGAATGCATCGGACGTTTTCTGTTGGGCTTTCTCGCGAGAATCAGATTCCCTCTTCTTATCATCCATCGCAGAACGAATTTTTTCCTTATCCTCAGGTGTAGCTGAGGCGCATGGCGTGATTCCCCTCCCGGGAATTCCGAGAATGTGGGCCTGAGCCCGCGCCACATTCAGTTTCCACGACTTCCCACATCGCTTGCATTTCTTAGCTAGCGTAGAATCAGATGTTCCGCCCTGAGGAACAATGAAGCATCGCCACACGGGATGCTCGGAAGCGGTCTGCGTAGGAGTCTCCATAGTACTAGTATAATCTGTTGCAGTGTGTTGGTTAAGTAGATAGAGTAGATAGACGAATTGACTCGGCGAATTTGTTTGACTCGATGTTGGGATTCGCCGAAACCAGTGAAGCTCGGCGGTGACGAAATTGCCGAGCGGGAGACAGTCGCTTACTTTGCAAGCGAAGCAACTGCGAGTCAAAATGTTCGCAATGTTCTATCGCGAACATTTTGACTCGCATTCAGATCTACTCCCACCTCCTTCCTCACTCTCTCGTCAAACTTACCTATCGTAGTACCCTAAGCCGTAGCAACATAGTCGACGTAGTACGCAGGGTAGTCGCCACACCATAGCCACCCTAACTAGCAACCTTCTTATTTCTTACATTACTACTAAGAGAATCGCCGCGCCGCTTTACTACCACGCTAACAAAGCACAGGTCGTCGAAAGCGTTTTTCCTTTTTTAGTTTTTTCGAAAACCGTTTTCAAAGAAATTCCTAGCGGATTTTTTTTTCTGACCTGCCCGGCGTACGTACACGTACGTACACGTACGTACACGTAAACGTAAACGTACGCGTACGTTACGTGTACGTGGCCTCAAGTGGCGTAAATGACCAACTTAGTGTACCTGGTCGTGAGCAGCAAGGGCGTACCTGGTCGTGAGCAGCAAGGGCGTACCTGGTCGTGAGCAGCAAGGGCGTACCTGGTCGTGAGCAGCAAGGGCGTACCTGGTCGTGAGCAGCAAGGGCGTACCTGGTCGTGAGCAGCAAGGGCGTACCTGGTCGTGAGCAGCAAGGGCGTACCTGGTCCTGAGCAGCAAGGGGGTACCTGGTCGTGAGCAGCAAGGGCGTACCTGGTCGTGAGCAGCAAGGGCGTACCTGGTCGTGAGCAGCAAGGGCGTACCTGGTCGTGGGCAGCAAGGGCGTACCTGGTCGTGAGCAGCAAGGGCGTACCTGGTTGTGAGCAGCAAGGGCGTACCTGGTTGTGAGCAGCAAGGGCGTACCTGGTCGTGAGCAGCAAGGGCGTACCTGGTCGTGAGCAGCAAGGGCGTACCTGGTCGTGAGCAGCAAGGGCGTACCTGGTTGTGAGCAGCAAGGGCGTACCTGGTCGTGAGCAGCAAGGGCGTACCTGGTCGTGAGCAGCAAGGGCGTACCTGGTCGTGAGCAGCAAGGGCGTACCTGGTTGTGAGCAGCAAGGGCGTACCTGGTCGTGAGCAGCAAGGGCGTACCTGGTCGTGAGCAGCAAGGGCGTACCTGGTCCTGAGCAGCAAGGGCGTACCTGGTCGTGAGCAGCAAGGGCGTACCTGGTCGTGAGCAGCAAGGGCGTACCTGGTCGTGAGCAGCAAGGGCGTACCTGGTCGTGGGCAGCAAGGGCGTACCTGGTCGTGAGCAGCAAGGGCGTACCTGGTCGTGAGCAGCAAGGGCGTACCTGGTTGTGAGCAGCAAGGGCGTACCTGGTCGTGAGCAGCAAGGGCGTACCTGGTCGTGAGCAGCAAGGGCGTACCTGGTCGTGAGCAGCAAGGGCGTACCTGGTCGTGAGCAGCAAGGGCGTACCTGGTCGTGAGCAGCAAGGGCGTACCTGGTCCTGAGCAGCAAGGGCGTACCTGGTCGTGAGCAGCAAGGGCGTACCTGGTCGTGAGCAGCAAGGGCGTACCTGGTCGTGAGCAGCAAGGGCGTACCTGGTCGTGGGCAGCAAGGGCGTACCTGGTCGTGAGCAGCAAGGGCGTACCTGGTCGTGAGCAGCAAGGGCGTACCTGGTCGTGAGCAGCAAGGGCGTACCTGGTCGTGAGCAGCAAGGGCGTACCTGGTCGTGGGCAGCAAGGGCGTACCTGGTCGTGAGCAGCAAGGGCGTACCTGGTCGTGAGCAGCAAGGGCGTACCTGGTCGTGAGCAGCAAGGGCGTACCTGGTCGTGAGCAGCAAGGGCGTACCTGGTCGTGAGCAGCAAGGGCGTACCTGGTCGTGAGCAGCAAGGGCGTACCTGGTCGTGAGCAGCAAGGGCGTACCTGGTCGTGAGCAGCAAGGGCGTACCTGGTCGTGAGCAGCAAGGGCGTACCTGGTCGTGAGCAGCAAGGGCGTACCTGGTCGTGAGCAGCAAGGGCGTACCTGGTCGTGAGCAGCAAGGGCGTACCTGGTCGTGAGCAGCAGTGGGAGCGTAGCTGGCCCTCATCCTTGGAGCCCCATCCCACCTCCACCGGCACTCTGACACTAGGTGGGCGTGTTACGTAGTGACAACATGAGCACACCTTAGAGGCAGTGGGAGCGTAGGTGGCCACATAGAAGAGAGGCCCCTCGTCCTTGGAGCCCCATCCCACCTCCACCTCCACACGCACTGGGGCGCTTGCACTGGCACGTGTGGTCGACTGAGCAGATTCAGCGGTTTTTGAATCGAGTGTGCTTGTAGCGAGGGGCTGGATGGTCCACAGAGGGTGTGAGGCGGACAGCTCGTATGCTCCTGTTGTCGGCAATGGGTGGGTGGGTGGGTGGGTGGGTGGGTGGGTGGGTGGGTGGGTGGGTGGGTGGGCGGTCAAATCACAACCACAAATGCTACAAGCAGGAAGTGATCATAAGCCAACGCGGACAACACTGCTGCTGTGAAAACAAACCCCTTTGGTTGCTCTAAGGGCGTCCCACCCACCCAAACCCTTCCCCACCATGCATGACTCACCCACGGGAAGGCCTGTGAAGCTGAAAACACCACTGTCGTCTGTGACAGCCGTTGCTGCCACCTGCTGCTCTTGTAGCTGCTGCTGCTGTGACCCCCCCTCCTCTTTTCTATCACTGCCGCTACTGCTGCTGCTGATTCCATTTGTTCCGGGAGCGGGTTGCAGGGTTACAACGATACCAGCAGGCCCTGTCAGGGGTGCTCCGCCTGCTGAGTCTGCTCCTGTTTCTGCTGAGCCTTTTCTTGCTTCTGTTGCTGCTGGCGAGTGACTGAGTATGCGGCCTGAGATGCCAAACCTGCTCCAGGAGAAAACAACAATGTCCTATTACACTTTCAGGTAAAATCAACATGCTTATAGAGCGTGATAGCATACGCCGTCAAACCCTTCTAAGAAGTCTGAAAGGACTATCGTGAATGTTTCGACGGACCCACCCGTGAATGTGGAAATCTACGTCATTGCCCGCATTGCAGGAGATAGCATCAACAACCACCATCTGCATGATGTGATTGGGTGGATAATGCGATCAAGAGGATGCGAAGTTGGGGAGCGGTGGAGGAAAGACAACTTTGAGCCCACTCAAATGTCACCTCTTTGCAGGAGATGGCATCAACAACCACCATCTGCATGATGTGATTGGGTGGATGTGAGGATTGGAAAACTAGAAAAAGTTTTTGAAGAGATAAGGAGGAAATAAGAAAGGTGGGAATTAAGGAGAGAGGGGCTGAAATTGAGGAAATAGTGGCGGAAATTGAGGAAGAGATTGGGGATCGAAAACACAGGTGGGCACGGAACAGAAGGAAGTTACCTGGGGCACGGAACAGAAGGAAGTTACCTGGGGCACGGAACAGAAGGAAGTTACCTGGGGCACGGAACATAAGGAAGTTACCTGGGGCACGGAACAGAAGGAAGTTACCTGGGGCACGGAACAGAAGGAAGTTACCTGGGGCACGGAACAGAAGGAAGTTACCTGGGGCACGGAACAGAAGGAAGTTACCTGGGGCACGGAACAGAAGGAAGTTACCTGGGGCACGGAACAGAAGGAAGTTACCTGGGGCACGGAACAGAAGGAAGTTACCTGGGGCACGGAACAGAAGGAAGTTACCTGGGGCACGGAACAGAAGGAAGTTACCTGGGGCACGGAACAGAAGGAAGTTACCTGGGGCACGGAACAGAAGGAAGTTACCTGGGGCGAGTGACCGAGTCTACAGACAAGCCATTTTTTTTAGTCGACTCAAAAATAAACACAGGCGAGCACGGAATGGAATGGAATGGACTGGAATGGAAGTCACCTGGGGCGAGTGACCGAGTCTACAGACAAACCGTGGGGTAGGAACAGGTGGGGAGGAGGCAGCGGGGCACAGCTCGCGACAAAAGACAATCGAGCAAGGAAGGGAATAAGATGGGATTGAAAGATGCTCACCTTGGGCGAATCAACGGACCAGCCGGGAGGGGCACGTAGGGCGATGACGAAGGTCTCCTGAGAGGGGAGGACGAGGGGGAGGAGGAGGAAAGAGGGGAGGAAGGCGAGGCGGAAAGAGGAAGGAGGGTGGAGAAGAGGGGAGAGGGGGGTGGGTTAAGAGGAGAGAGAGCGGGAGCAAATGGAAAGGTGGGAGAGGGGAAGGGGAGATTGAGTGATGAAGCGAGTTCATGCGAAAGAAATCAAGTCAGCTTGAATGAGTTGAGAGTTCAGGTGGGAGGAGCTGGGAGGAGCTGGGAGTAGGTGGGAGGAGGTGGGGGGAGGTGGGAGGAAGTGGGAGAAGGTGGGAGGAGCTGGGAGGAGCTGGAAGGGCGATTGAGGAAAGAATATTGAACAACGTTTTTCAACAAGGGGAAGGGGATTTCAAGAGCAAAGTACTGGGACAGTGGGACAGAGGGAGGAGAAGATGGAGGGAGCCAGCAAAGGAGGGAGGGAGGGAGGGAAAAAAGCTGCGGATTCAGAGAAAAGCGCACCTGGAGGGAAGGAGGCATGAGAAAGTAGTAGCCATCCTCGTCACAGTGTGTCCTCTCATGCACAAAGCTGCCGCCATGGGACTGTAGCTCGACCTGTACCGTATTATATTAAAGATTCATCGCAAAAAAACTATATGAAATGAACAGTATATAAAAATTTGCTCATCACGACGTGTGTGATCAACACTATCATTTTGCATTCGATAAGGGCACACAGGCCATGATTTGCCATGCATAAATGCAGTGGACACGCAATCACCATGATGCGGGTGTAATCAACGCAATTTCTTCATGGTAGGGGTGTAATCAAGACATTACCATGACACGGGTGTAATCAAGACATAACCATGACACGGGTGTAATCAAGACATTACCATGACACAGGTGTAGTCAATACATTACCACGACACGGGTGTAGTCAATACATTACCATGATACGGGTGTAGTCAATACATTACCATGATACGGGTGTAGTCAATACATTACCATGATACGGGTGTAGTCAATAGCCTCTGAGTTGCTCCCTTGCGGCAGTAGAGATGTCAGATGAGTACTTGGCTGCGATATGGTCACATCAAAGTCAAACCAGAATAACAAAATTCTCAAATAATGGTCACAGCCCATCATAATTAAATAAGCACAACCATATGACAACAGACGTGCCAACCCTGGGACTCACTGCCATGTGTCATTCACTGTCATATGCCATTCATTGTCATCTGTCCCTCATTCAGTGTCATGTGTATTGCCATGTGCCATTCAGTACCATGTGACATTCATTGCCATGTGTCACTCATTGCCACCCACGTGTCATTCATTGCCTTGTGTCATTCAATGACATGCATGTGCCATTCGTTGCCACGTGCCATTCATTACCATGTGTCATACATTATGTGTTATTCATTGCCACGTGTCATTCATTGCCATGCATCATCAAGTACCATGCGCCACGGCTTGTTATGTGCTTCTCATTGTCATGGATCATACACAATGGCATGCATGCTGTTGTGTCATGACCTGTGTCGGGTACCATGGCACGTGTGAGATGAGATGTCATCATGTGTGATTCGACAACATGCGCCTCACAGAATGACAGCAGGCGCCTCACTATACGACAGCACGCGCCTCACCACACGACAGCACACGCCTCACCTTGACAAACCCGCTGCAGCCCACCAGCACAGCCTCATCCCTCGCGTCCACTCTCATTGCAGCCCCCGTTAGAAGCACAGCTACGCATAGCGACCACAGAGCACGGCGCTGGTGACAACACTGCGTCAGCTTAAAGCGAAACATGACTGGTGGGGAGAGCCGACTGCTAGGATCCGAGATGATGCGAGCCAGACAACGGTGGTTGACGTGGCCTTCGCGATCCCTTTAAAGCCGACGCAAAATAGCACGCGGAAACGATGCTCTGACGGGGCAACCTTGTCGGTATCTGAGCTACTTCTTCTTGAAGCGGAAACGCAAACGCATGCCGCAACTGACGCTGTTACGAAAAGTCAGGTGCTTCAAACGACCGTGAGCAACTCGTTCTCAAGGTTCAATGTCACGGAGTACGGACAACGAAATCCCGTGGAGCTACGATTGCAAAGAACCAACTTACGAGATTCGGTTCTTTGGTTTGTGTACGGAAACCGAACTCCGAAAGCATTCATGGCGAAGATTTCACACGTTATGGAAAGCTATGAAGGGGCTCATATGCGTCTTATGGCTGGGAGAGATCGTGTGCCTGGCACTAAAAGTTCATTGCCACAACCGGAAACGGAATATGAAAACGGGTGCTATTCATTTTCTTATGTACTTTACTCAGCTGCATCATCAATCCAGAATTGTCTGCACTAATCTCTGTTTGGAATGATGCATGTGTACAATCAAGCACATAATGAATCCCTGTTGCTAGAAGAAAGGATGGCATACAAAAAAATGGTGTTTAGCACCAAGTAAAGAAATGTTTGGGGATGTGGTGGTTTAGCGCTAGAAGCTTGTCAAGTGAAGCGTCTAAGGTGCTTAAATGGTAGTACGATCCTCCTGCGAATGTTGCACAGCTGGATGCCCAGCTTAGTCCTGCCAGAATCAAAAGCCGAATGTTAGCTCTTCTGATGGCATGTCGCCAGTATGGAGGTAACTATCCCAAAACTGAGTTACTCACCTTTGACTGGATGTTGTTGGACAGCCAGTCGAGACCCTCATAGAGACCTTCTCCTGAGGTAGCGCAAGTACTCTGGATGTACCTGAAATGAACGAAGGTGGTAAGACAGTCAAGGCAAGAACTCAACACGACATTTCTCCGTGGATCAAACATAATGTCGACCAGATTCTCACGCGTAAAATAAATTTTCAAAAAAAATCAAAATCTCCTTAAGACGGCCACTCACCATTGACGCTGGCGCAATGAATGAAGACCAAGCTTATCGGTAATCTCTGCAGCGTTCATGGCATTCGGAAGATCCTGCTTGTTAGCGAACACAAGCAGCACCGCGTCTCGCAATTCGTCCTGAAAAAGGAGGCGGAGAAAGAGTCAGTACACAAACCAGGTCACCAGCACACTCGAAGAATTACAATAAGCGACAAAAGATGATGCTGACCTCGTTGAGCATTCTGTGCAACTCATCCCTGGCTTCCATCACACGATCCCTATCGTTGCTGTCGACAACGAAAATCAGACCTTGTGTGTTCTGGAAGTAATGCCTCCAAAGGGGACGGATCTGTACAACGAGGTAAAAGACAAAATTAGTCCAATCACGAAACGGACTGACAATTAAAGACCTAACTGCATTTTTTTATTCTTACCTTGTCCTGACCTCCCACATCCCACACAGTGAAGCTGATGTTCTTGTATTCCACAGTTTCGACATTGAAACCTGGATTGGAACGAAGATAAGATCTCTTAACAAAATTATAGGTGTCTTAAGCGAGTCTGACAGTAGATCGACGAAGGACTGCAATCATACCAATGGTTGGAATGGTGGTCACGATCTCTCCCAGCTTCAGCTTGTACAGAATGGTCGTTTTACCAGCGGCATCTAGACCAACCATTAGAATACGCATGTCCCGTTTCCCAAAGAATCTCGCAAAGAGCTTCCCAAAGGACAAACCCATGGTGAACTGCCTTTAGGAAACGAAGGCTAGAGTGGTAATGAAAATTAACAAGATGGTGGGAGTAATCTGAGATTCCTAACGAGAGGCTTGCTGGAGAGAATGAGCTATCAGTGGCCTTTTTGGTTGTGGAAACTGGATGGTTGGGTAGCAAAATGAATCCTTTTTCTCTACCAACCAGCTCTCGCACGTTGTTCTCAAGGCCAAACTTTCCCTCGCAAAGGCACGTCGCATGCCTCCCGCAAGACTTCGCTATTCGTCGCATCGGGCTGACCAAACCCAACTTTCCTCGCACGGTGGAGGCCGTCTGACGCGCAACGACTGGAATTCCCCCGCGCGAATCTGCTGCACCGTTCGGGACGCTGACAGGGCTCCTTCGTTGTGGGCGCGTAGGGCACGGTGGAGTCACCGAGATCCCACCGTTGAGTTGATAATATCGAGTCATGTCAAGATAACTAGGTTGACAAACCCAGTTCTGTAGACAAGAATGATATAGATGATAAACAAACTGACTTAGAACCTTCGCGACTTGAATCATGTGCCAAAGCTGTATATTTAGTTCATAGGAGTTTAAATTATTTCATTGAATACTGTATCCGTTTGTTCACATCTTTTGTACAGTCTTTAGCAACAGATACTTATCACTTGTATGTGACCTATAGCAAAGTTATTATTTGGGTGTTGTATCTGCATTTTGATCCACGTTTTTGTGTTCTCCCTGATGCCGATTGGGTAGGCGTATTTGGGGCAGGGTGGGTAGAAAAGACGCCAAAATGCAGAAGAGTTGTGGGGGAGTAGTGCGTCCAATACTCAGCGCAATGTTACCATAGACAGGATGTTCGCGAGCCATTCAGAATTAAGTGCTGTCAGGAACATCGGTAGAACCAGCACAGCATCTGGTTCGTGTCCATCTTGATCATTGCGCGTGGTGTGTCTGGCACTCGTAGGCCAATCACCGAGTTCCAGGCCAACATCACATGCCCAGCAAATACACCCGCTCAAGACAAGACGCGTTCCCTTTCCGCCAATCGTGTCGTCGGGTTCTATCCGTGACGAGTCTGCCCACAGCGGGGATTTTGACCTTAGGCTCCATCCACTTCTTCCCCTGCTGCTGGATTTCTCGCCTCCAGCCGACCATCCAGCCAACCACCCATCCAACCAGCTCTTGCTTTCTTCAATTTATCAATCGTTCCGACAGGACCAGACCTGTTATAGCGTGGATGTGTAGTTGAGGCTTTCTTTTTACGCACCATAAGCGCTTGCGTCGTTCAGTTTCCTTCTTGTTAGCAGAGCCGCTTCCAGCAGTTTCACGCGACGCCAACGAGTTATTAGAATGGCAGCCCGATGCTTTAGCTATCGGTCCGATACAGCCATTCTCTGACGTAGCTCTCTCACTATGTAGCAATTCTCGGATTCTCGTATGTAGCAAACGCCAGGACCGATGGCCTACCCGAGGTTGACTCGCACGGAACGGAGGCGGGTGGCACTCCTTGTCGTTTTGCTCGTCCTTGCCGCTTGCACGTCCGCATGGCGTTTCTCTGATCAGATCTGTTTCTTTTGTAGCTCGAAACGAGCTGGCACTGCAGTCGCGAAGAGCAGAAACGAGGCTGCCTTCATCGGGGACAGCGCGGATCCTGTTGGTTCTGGAGAATCTAGCAGCAGCAGTAGTAGCGGGAATGTCGGCGACAATAGCGGAGGAGAAGGGACGCGGTCACAATCTGAAGGGTCAGGAGCAACATCCAATTATGATGTACGTCGTCACGCTTCTTCGCTCCCCGCTCCTAGTACGCTTCCCTCATTACACCACCTGCTGCCCTCCCTGCTGCCCGCTTTGCTGTCGTCTCTGTTGCTCGTTCACCCCTCTCCTCTTCCTCCCCACTTTGCTTCCTCGCTTCTCCCCTTTCCCCAGCCTTCGCTCCCCTCCCTGGCAACTGTCTGATGGGGGTCGCTCGGGACTTAGACGCCACAGGCCGTACAAATTGCCCTCTCTTCTACCTCCTGTCAACGTGTCCTTCGCATTCTCCCCTTCCCCAGCCCTCCCTCCCCGCCCTGGCAGTGTGTCTGGTGGGCGGCGCGCGGGACTTAGATGCCACGGGCCCCACCATCGCACACCCCCTTGCTGCCCTCGCTGCTGCTCTCAATCCACATCCCCTTCCATCTCTCTCCACTCCTTTCCACCCTTCCCCAGCCCTCCCTCCCCGCCCTAGCAGTGTGTCTGGTGGGGGGCGCGCGGGACTTAGACGCCACAGGCCCCACCATCACACACCACCTGCTGCCCTCCCTGCTGCCATTCGACCTCTTCATCCATGCACCGCTGGATGAAAACGCTGCGAAGATCTCAGCCCTTGCTCGCGCACATGCCATGCACGGGGATCATGCTACAACCAGCAGCAGCAGCAGCAGCAGCAGCAGCAGCAGCACGGACAGAAGGGATGACAGCAGCAGAAGTGACAATAACGAGCAGCAGGGCGCAGCAGGGAAAATGGCTGGTGCTATAAAGGGAGTGCGGGTGTTCCCAGTTGTGCCTGTAGACGCATCACTCTATCCTGGGTCTATTATCATCCTCCCCTGGGGATCTCCGAACGGGGTTCAGGGGATTCTGCAGTATTTCAGGTTGATTGAGGGCTGTTTGCCGCTCATAGAACGTGAGGAAAAGACAAACCGCGCCGGCCAGCCGTACCGGTGGGTGCTGCGCACACGGCTGGATGGTTATTGGTCGGCGCCGGCGCCCCCGCTTTCGTCTTTTATTGGCTGGGCGGGAAAGGGGGCGGAGAGGAGGGAAGGGGGAGCAGGAGGAGGAGTAGCAGAGGGGAAAGAGGGCGAAAGCATGGGGGAGAGGGCGGCATACGTTGTCCCATATGGGTCGAACTGGGGCGGCGTGAATGACCGGTTTGGATTTGGGAGGAGGGAGGAGAGTGTGGTGGCGCTGTCACGACTGGCAATGCTGGATGAAGTCAACAGATACAGGCAGCGGATTGGCGTCAAACGGTAATCAAGCAAGCTGAGACTTCAATGGTGTGGGGTTATATGTTGATGTGCTTATGAGGTGATGTGACTGTAAGAAGCAGTGGTAATGGGAAAGAGAGTGTTGTGGTGCTGTTGCGACTAGCAATGCTGGATGAAGTCAACAGATACAGGCAAGGAATTGGCATCAGACGGTGAGTGTGCTTGGTTATATCATCATTATATGGTAACTATGTAACACCAGGGGATGGATGAAGTCAACAGATACAGGCAGAGGATTGGAGTCGCACAGTGAGTGTGATGGGTGATCTGGTTACCATGTAACACCACTGAGTGAAGTTTCCAGACAGAGGCAAAAACTCCTACCTGCAACCTGCAACCTTCCACCCTACCTATAGCAATAATTCTCTCCCTGCTCCCACCCTTCCCCTCTCCCCGTCAGTCCCTCCCGGGCAGGCAGATGAACAGCGAGGTGACATTCAAGCTGCAGCTCAAGTCGCGGAGCATAGCAGTGCAGCCAGCCAGCCTGCCCCTCTGTGTGCTCTCCCGCCGGGCCTTCCATGACGCCTGGCCCTTCTCTTCTGCCCTTACCCCCTCCCCGTCCCTCCCCGTCCCTCCCCGTCCCTCACTGCCAGGCAGATACAGCGAGGTCACATTCAAGCTGCAGCTCAAATTCCGCAACCTTCCCTGACGCCTCTCCTCTCCTTGCCCACTGCCTCACTCACTGCCAGGCAGATGAACAGCGAGATCACCTTCAAGCTGCAGCTCAAGTCGCGGGACATATCAGTGCAGCCTGCCACCCTGCCCTTCTGTGTGCTCTCCCGGAGGGCCTTCCCTGACGCCTGCAGCAGCATCACCGTCTCCATCAACGCGTCTGTGCCTCTGAACGGAGCCAAGTGCCAGCCCTGCCACCCCTGCGCTGAGGGGAAAGAGGTGAGAGATGGGAGGAGGTGGTAACCAGACGGGCATACAGACAGACACTTGCAGCAGCATCACTGTCTCTATCAACGCGTCTGTGCCTCTGAACGGAGCCAAGTGCCAACCCTGCCACCCCTGTGCTGAGGGGAAAGAGGTGAGACGGGATGGGAGGTCAGGGTAGGTAGGGTAGCGTAGTGCTGGTAACCAGAGAGACAGTTGCCTGCAGCAGCATCACCGTCTCTATCAACGTGTCTGTGCCTCTCAACAGGGCGAAATGCCAACCCTGCCACCCCTGCGCTGAGGGAACAGAGGTGAGATGGAAGGGGGTGGTAACCAGACGGGCATACAGACAGGCGCCTGCAGCAGCATCACAGTGTCAATCAACGCGTCTGTGCCTCTGAATGGAGCCAAGTGCTAGCCCTGCCACCCGTGTGCCCAGGGCAAAGAGGTGAGGCAGGAGTAAGGGGTAAATATTGTAGTGCTGGTAACAGGGGTGGTAACCAGGCAGTTGCCTGCAGCAGCATCACCGTCTCCATTAACGCGTCTGTGCCTCTCAACGGCGACTTTTGAGGCGCCTCAAAAGTCATCACTGTCTCCATCAACGCGTCTGTGCCTCTCAAAGGGGCCAAGGGAAGGAGCCAGTGGCTTGCTGCCACGTGGCTTCAGCAGCAGCACCAGCAGTCAATGATTGGCTCTGCTCTCTCTTTCTCTCTCTCTCGCTCTCGCACTGCCTCACTCTCACCCTCACTCTCACCCTCACTCTCAATCCATTCCTCCCCCAATCAGGTAGAAGCCATTCTGAATGCCACGTCACCATCATCTGACAAGTGGTTGGGTCCCGTCCAATCAGGAGTCGCCTTCTGTCCGGGTGGGAAGGGGAAAGGGAAGGGGCGGTCGAGCACGGATGGATCGTGGCCGTCGGATTGGGAGGAGATTTTCCGACGAACGGTGGGAGATGAGCTGGCAGCGAGGCAGAGAAGGATCAGAAGGAGAGTGGGGGAAATTGACACATGCACTCGGTTCCTGGAAAAGGTGATCATAGCGAGTGTAATAAAAAAGGTGACAACAAGTATTGTTATTGAGTGACTAAGGTAGGTTGTGTGATAGAGTGACTAAGGTAGGTAGTATGATAGAGTGAATGAGGTAGGTAGTGTGATAGAGTGACTAAGGTAGAGTGATTAAGGTAGGTGAGAAATCAGGTGAGAGGGGGGGGTTGAGTTGTGCAGTCGATTCTTGGGAAAGTTGGCTGTAGAGCGATAAATGATAGAGAATCTGAGAAAGGTGATTGATTATAAAGAATGTGTGGAGGTGATTATGTGGAAGAGGTGATTATAGCGATTGTTCTTATAGAGATTGTTCATTTGGAGGCTATGGTATATCAGCTTCCATCTCGTCTTGTGTGCTCCCCGCCTTCTTGCTTGATGCTCTGCCTTACATCACACCCAATACCTCATCACCCCTCTCTACCCACCACTACCGCTCCCCACACACCATCACCCCTCTCCATCGCAGATGAGAGCGACTGTATCCAACTAGGACGCCCGCTCGTCTCTCTCCCTCTGCGTCCGCTCTGCTCTTGGTGCTGCCAACATGCTTGCGTGCTGCTCTCCCTTCCACCCACTCCCCATCACCACTCGCCAGCTCCAGTTACCTCTTTCCACCCCCCGTCACCCCTCTCCTCCCCCCATCACCGCCCTCCACACCTCACAACCCCTCTCTATCACAGATGAGAGCGACTGTATCCAACTGGGACGCCCCCTCGCCTCTCGCCCTCTGCGTCCGCTCTGCTCTCGGTGCTCCCACTGTGCTCGGCGTCCCACACGACTCCTTCCCACTCTTCTCCCCTCTGCTCTCCCCCACAAGGTCAGCTCTCCTTCCCTCCTCCTAGGTAAGAAAGCCCCCCTCTCGCCCTCTCTGTCCGCTCTGCTCTCGGTGCTCCCAGCGTGCTCAGCGCCCCACACGACTCCTTCCCACTCTTCTCCCCTCTCCTCTCCGCCAAAGGGTATGTCTTTGCTGCTTCCTCCTGCCCCATTCCCCCTCGCTCATCTCCCCATTCTCCTGTTCATTGCAGTCGAAGCTCTTCCAACTCTCTCGCCCTCTCGCTGCTCCCAGCCTACTTGCCGCCCCACAAGACTCCTTCCCCGTCTCCCCTCTGTCGTGTTTTGAGTCGAACCAAAACACGACTCACTGCTCCCAGCCAACTTGCCATCCCACAAGACTCCTTACCAGTATTTCTCCCCTCTGTTTTCCCCTGAAAGGTGTGCCTTCGCCCCACAAGACTCCTTTCCCCTGAAAGGTGTGCCTTCGCCCCACAAGACTCCTTTCCCCTGAAAGGTGTTCCTTCGCTGCGTTAACCTACTCCATTCCCCATGCTCCATCTCCCCTCTCTCCTGCTGCGTCTAATTCCCCTGCTCTTTCTCTCGCTCTCGTTACTCCCAGCCTAAGTGCCGCCCCACGAGACTCCTTCCCCGTCTTTTCCCTCTGTTTTCCCCCCTTCTCCCCTCCCCATCCCATCAGCCGCATCCCTCACTTGGAATTCACGGCTCAGAAGGCGGGAGCAGCAGATGCAAAAACGGCCTGCTTTGGCCTTAGATGTTACATCTCCACTAAATTTCATCAGATGTTAGCAGCACATGTTACATCTCCACTAAATCTCATCAGATGTTGGCAGCACATGTTACATCTCCACTAAATCTCATCTCTCTTCTGTTCTCTTCCCTTCTTCTCTCGTCCCTTTTTCTTGTCTCATTTCTTATTTTTTCGCATCAGTCGCATTCTTCACGTGGGAGCACCAGATGCAACTCCGGTCTGCTCTGACCCTGGATGTTTGATTGCCACTAATCCTCATCTCCCTACTTTTCTTTTCCCTTCTTTTCTTTTCCCTTCTTCTCCCCTCCCATTTGCATCAGTCGCATCTTTCACGTGGAATACACGGCGCTGCAATCAGGAGCAGAAATACTTGCAGCACTTGCAAAGCGAGTGTTTCTCTCCTTTCCACACCCAACCTCCCCTCCCCATCGCATCAGTCGCATCCTTCTCTTGGAATACACGGTGCTGCAAGCAGCAGCAGCGGCAGAACCTAGTCCTCAAGAGTGTTTGGTTCTCTCAATCTGCATTTCTCCTACCCACCCAACCTCCCCTTCCCAACGCATCAGTCGCATCCCTCACGTGGAATACACCGCGTTGCAAGCAGGATCAGCAGCACTTGCAGCACTTGCAGCACTTGCGATTCCCTCACTCTCTCTTTCTTCCCCCCCTTCTCTCCTTCCCATCGCATCAGTAGCATCCTTCACGTGGAATACACGGCGCTGCCAGCAGGAACAGTAGCAGTCGCAGCTGTTGCAATTTTCTCACTCTCTCTTTCTCCCTTCCCCTCTTCTCCTTTCCCCATCGCATCAGTCGCATCCTTCACTTAAAATACACGGCGCTGCAAGCAGGATCGGCGACAGGGAAAGCCGGAGCAGGCGGAGCAGCGGGAGCAGCGGGAGGAGCAGAGGGGGGAGCGGAGGGAGAGCAAGCACAGGAAGGGCAATCGTGGGAGGAAGCAGTGGAGAGGGCACAGCGGGGGGTGCGGGTGACCAGAGCGTCGTTTGCTGATATGCAATTGGCTGCCGACCGGAACGAGATTGTTCCTGTATTGAAGGTGAGAAGGCTTGAGTGTACTGGAAGAAGAACAGTGGGAGGGGGAGCAGTGGGAGGAGGAAAGGTAGTGGGAGTGGAAGCATGGTGGGGGGCATGTCAGTGGGCACAGTTAGGGGTGCGGGTGATTGGAGCATCGTTTGCTGACTTGCAATTGGCTGCTGACCGGCAGAAGATTGTTCCTGTATTGAAGGTGAGTGCTGGTGAAGGTGAGTGCTGGTGAAGGTGAGTGTATAGCATGAACCAGTGCCGTCTAAGATGGTTTGTTGGCAACAGGGCCGAGGGAGTCAGTGAGGGATGCAGTGGGAAGGGCCCTGCCTTGAGACGTCTCAAAACACTTCTGTTTACACGTGGCTTTGAGACGTCTCGAAACACTTCTGTTTACACGTGGCTTTGAGACGTCTCGAAACACTTCTGTTTACACGTGGCTTTGAGACGTCTCGAAACACTTCTGTTTACACGTGGCTTTGAGACGTCTCGAAACACTTCTGTTTACACGTGGCTTTGAGACGTCTCGAAACACTTCTGTTTACACGTGGCTTTGAGACGTCTCGAAACACTTCTGTTTACACGTGGCTTTGAGACGTCTCGAAACACTTCTGTTTACACGTGGCTTTGAGACGTCTCGAAACACTTCTGTTTACACGTGGCTTTGAGACGTCTCAAAACACTTCTGTTTACACGTGGCTTTGAGACGTCTCAAAACACTTCTGTTTACACGTGGCTTTGAGACGTCTCGAAAACAGTGAGGGATGCAGTGGGAAGGGCCCTGCCGGTGGAGGGAAAGCAGGGGGGGAACAACCACTAGAAGGACAATCGTGGGAGGATGCAGTGCAGTGCAGTGCAGCTGGTGGCGAGAGCATTGTTGGTGAGTGCTGGTGAAGGTGAGCGCTGGTGAAGCGGTGTTGGTTCACCTCGCCTCTTCCCTCGTCCCTTCACCCACTCCCCTTCCACAGGTCACAGTGCATGGGCCAACACAGCCCATCGAACTCCTCAGTTCACTCGCCGTCTCCTTCTCCCTGCCGCCGCTCTGCCTCCTCCCCTCCTCCTAAGACTCCCCCCTTGCCATGCCCGTGCCCACCCCCAATCCCCCTCTCCACAGGTCACTGTGCATGGGCCAACACAGCCCATCGAGCTGCTCAGCTCACTTGCCTCCTTCTCCCTGCCGCCGCTCTGCCTCCTCCTCCTAAGAGCCCCCCCTTGCTCCCCTGAGAGTCTCAGACGGCACTCACAGGGGGAACCAGAGGCCTTAGGAGTACCACCTTGTGCAAAGCTGCTGATTGGTTGGGGGGGTAATGTTGGATTGCAGGTGGAGAGATGTGAAGTGGAACCGAACTTGAGGTGTACGTTTTTTTCTCCCAAGCATTGTGCGACATTGTTAAGAAAGAAGAAACTAAGATTGTGAGCGAGATATCGATTAATAAAAGTCTAAACCTTTCGAGCAATAAAAATCAAGGCATCTCTTGATGCACTCATTGCTATGATATTGCCTTGCCTTCGTTGTATTGTCGGTTCACTTGGTCACAGCCTCTTTATTCACTCATTCCGCACACCTTTTAGCCGCTCATTAGAGTAAATAACTCTCAAAATATTTCCAGAAACGTGTACCAAGCTTGAAGTCACATAACGGAGATCAGTGTGGAGAAAACGAGACATTTACACGAGGCGACCTGACGCTGTTTCATGGGGTATCTTCCAGCGTTTATGAGCGAGATCTACAAGGCGACGCTGGTTACAAGGATTCGCCTGTCGCCAACCAAGATCTTGCTACGTGTTAGCCATCGTGGAGGCTGGCTCCATCCCTGCCCCCCATCCCAGCGTGCTAGGCTTGACAAAAGATTCATGTTGCGGATGTTGGAAGCGAGCCAATGGGGCTTCACATTACGAAGGTTGTCTGTCGCCAGCGTGACTCTTCGCTAGGATTACTGACGCCTGAAATGGTTCAGGAATCAGGGATGGCTTGAGGTAACTTCCTTGTGCAGCGCAGCGTGGATGTGCCAGCTATTCGCTTGCCAGCCTTTCTTCGCCAGCTTTCATGCACTGTTCTCTAGCGGTGGTGGTGTAACAGTGAATCTCTCGCTAGCCGCGGCTGCGTCCTCGAAGGATCCGTAACGAAGTGGGTCAACGAGATGGCTACGTTTCACGATACTTTTAGGCACGCCCCAAAATTACAGCATCTGCAGTGCATTTAGATTGCCCAGTGTAAATTGCCAGTGCACTCTAATCTGTATCAGGCAGTAGTTCAACTGCAGCCATAATGTAGGTTGCCACTTTATGCTGAGTGTGTCATAAAAGTGGCATTACTGTAATGCCCCTTTTATGACACACTCAGGATGACCCAACCCACCACGATGGCGTTCGGGAGAATTGATTCCTTCGTGTTCCCAGTTTTGAAAAGGAGGCCTCAACTCTCCGGCGCTACCGTGCTACCCGTACCCTTGCAGATGGCAGGAAGATCTCAGGCGATACGAGAATCACAAGCTTTTCACTCCCTCCCACAGTCCTCTTCATCCCTCCCACCCATTCTTTTCCATGCACCATTTGCTTGCCAATGCCAAGTCAGGAGGCACGAGGCGAGCCAGCCAAACGCCTTGCGGCGATGATGTTTTTTTTCCGGAGCAAGCGAGCCAGGAGCAGCCTGTGGTGGCTCGAATGGCCAACGCGACTTGCGCGATTGCGGTGCCGTGTGTAGATTCTTGCACATCGACTTGCCTTGGGAAATGAAGAGAGGAGAAGTGGACTTGGAGGGGGAATATGGTTCATGCATCCTTACGAGTGCGTTACTTATGGCTTGTAATCTTGGTGCTGAGGTCATGTGTACAGTGAATATATACAGTTCAATATGTATAGCAGCTGACACACTGCACGGCAGCCTCTCCCAATTGTTACCAGTACACCCACCACCGACACCGCCCCACCGAAGGCTGTTTCTCCTCCATCCCACTCCTAGCTCTCAAGTTGAGACGATTATCCTCAAGGGCCAGGCTCAGAACAGCTCAAGCACGCCAGTGACAGGAACGATGGCAAGCTATAGGAGAAACGGACACAGTCGCCAATGGTGAATTCACTCGTCATTCCCCTGCACAACACTCTCATTCATTACACTCTCCAGTCTGTGACACTTACTCGGCAGGTTATCATGTTAGTAGATATCGAGGCTGAAACCATTACAGCGTGACTCGTCTGACGCGACGCCATGGCTGCGAGAGTTATCCGCGCACCTGAGAGTTTCTTCGAGTCCCCCGAGAGGTACAGAGTCCCCTCCTCAGCAGATCACTATCAGCATCCCACGAATTACTCTGACGGCGATTACTACCCCGCCGCGCATAACGCCACGTATCTTGCCGCGAATCCCGCAGATGCGCACTGTAGCTCGGCGGATCAACCTCGCTTCATTGCGCCGCCTCTCGACGCTAGTTGCTTCCAGTCTCCGTCAACGTTCGACTGGTCTCTGTCAACTTTTGACGGATCTCCGTCAGCCCTTGACGATTGTTCGTTCGAAGCCGAGGATTCAGCCATCCAGGCATTCCAAAGCACATCTCCGCACTCTCTGTTACCAAGTTACGCCGGTTTCGCCAGCCACGACTTCGCCGAACGCGACGCCGACGGGTTCGCGAATCTGGGGCGCCACCGCTATCCTTCCGCTGCGTCCTGGAGTGGCGGAGGCTCTAACGCTGATTCACTTCCGCAGAATCTTCCCGCCAACCGTCGCGCCTTCCGTGCGTCCCGCGTTTCCTGCGATTCACGCATCTCTTGCGCCCCCCCACGCAGCACTTGCGTCGTTCCCGAACCCTTCGCCGGCGATTGTGTGACGGTAACGACACACTTCGGCCACACTGTCGCGCGGCGACGGGACGGTTGCGTCGCCGCTTCCATCCCAACCCCGGCGGCGCCCGCGGCGGCGTGTGAGCGCGGGATGATCGTGCAAGCAGCGGGCGCGCGGCGGCGACCCGCCATCGGCATCCGAAAGCTCCGCGAGCTGGAAGCCGCGAAGCAGAGAACCGCCAACCAGGCAGCGTCTGCGGAGGCGCACGCGCACGCGCAGGTGGCGACGGCGGCGGAAACAAATGCGGGGGCCGTGGCGCAGGTTGAGGTCCAGGAGCGGGCGCAGGCGCAGGCAGAAGCGGAGACGGAGGCATATGCGGGGACGGCGGCCGAGGAGGTGCCGCAGCTGCGCGCGACGCGCACCGTTCGACGCCCGTTACAACCAGCGAGGAGCAACTCCACGCCGCCGGAAGTGACGGAAATGGCGGCGATGGCGGCGATTGGGAGGGGGGGAACAGCCGGCGGCACGGAAGCAGCGCGCAGCGGCGGCGATGCTTCGGGGGAGCCCGCGGGGGTCGGGGGAACCGCGACGATAATTACGACTACCACGTGCATGGGCCACACGGAAAGCCGCTTTCGGACGAACCGGGAGGAGAGAGCCGCGATTTTCGGGCTCCATTCCACGTCAGCGCCTCCCGAGTTGGGCGCGTACGATAATCGCCGCGAATCCCGGCTAAGCGCATCAAACTGTCGCGGAGTCCCCGCGATGTTCCCTCCTCCCGTCGCACGGCGACGTCCGTCGCTCGAATCGCTCGAGTCGCCACACCAAGCGAGCAGCTCCCACTCGCCGAGTCAGTCGCCGTCGGTTAGACACGCTCCCTCGCTTCAGTCACGCTCCAGTCTCCCTCCATTACAGTCACACTTGCACCGTCATCGCAATTCCCAATCGAGGTCCCGATCTCCGTCCCCGTCGCCATCCCCGTTACAATCTAATCGCGCAAGGTCCCCGTTACAAGCACCATTACACCGCCATTCGTCTCAGCCTTTCTCCGACCCGTTCGCGAATTCGTCACCGCAGCGATTTTCCGAGGAACAGTTACGTCCGGTCCCTGCACGCACCGCGAGCGACTTCAATGAAAAGTGCAGAGCCGACGCGCAACCAACGAGGAGCCTCCACGCGACGCGGAAAGCTAGGCCGCTAGGGTTTCCGAGGAGTGGGAGCGTGGATGGTGGTGTTCGGCGAAATTCGGCGATTAGCGATAACTTTATTTCAAAACCCGATCGGCAGAGCTCTTTTGGTTTGTACTCGTTGAAGGCTGATTCGTTTGTAGATCAGCAGCCTGGATCGCACCAATCTCCAGTGTCTTCTCACCATCACATGCGACGTGGCAGCCTCCCAACCGTAGCTTCGTCTCGCATGGAGTCTACACCAGCGCGGCTCTACAGTAACACTTCGATTAAAGCTACAGTACATCTTCATGACTGTAAAAGCTCCAACTCCTCATCTCCATCTCAATCTCCATCTTCTAGCAAACCTCATCCGTCTCTCTCCCGCTGCCCAAGCCCCCACCGAGCCTCCCTCCGCAAGCTGCCCTCTGACAATCTAGATGCGGTGGTAACCAGCAATCATTACAACCGTTATATGCAACACGGCTCTCTGAGGCAAAAATCGAGGCTCGGCCTCCGAACCACCTCGGTAGACCTGGGCGACATCGCTGCGGGCTCGGCACGCGCCGGACTTGCGACTCAGCAGGCTCGGAATAGCAGCGGGTCCCACCAGGGGGGGATGGATGTGGGGGAGGTGCAACACGGACAGCAGGGTAATTTACCCCACAAGTCATTTCAGAGGAGGACTAGACCGAACAGCTTGTCTGTTTGGCCCTCTGCCTACATCCCGCTGTCCCCCTATGAGGGTGCACCTGTAGCAAGGACGGCTGTAGCACCAGCGGCTGTAGCGGCTGCACCTGCTGCTGACCAGCAGCCTTCCCAGCAGCACTACGAGCATCACTCACAGCACCATCAGCATCAGCAGCAGCAGCAACAGCATCGGCATCACTCGCAGCATCAGCAGCAGCAGCATTCCCGTTCTCCCCCCCACCAGTCTCATTCCCTCTCTCCTTCTCACCAGTCTCATTCCCACTCTCCCCCCCAGCAGTCTCATTCCCATTCTCCTCCCCACGAGTCCCATTCCCACTCTCCTCCCCACCAGTCTCATTCCCACTCTCCTCCCCACGAGACTATTCGCTCCCGCCGTGCCCTCCCCTCCCTGGCTGTACACCCTCTCTTCACCACCCGGGCATCTGCAGCTTCCATCCTCCGTACAAGCAGCCTTGCTACCAACACAACAGCTTCTACAGTAGAGCACTATATCTCCCCGCCTCTCCTGTTCCCGCCCCTGGGTACTACCTCCCCTGGTACCACCTCCCTGCATACGACCTTGCCAGGTGCCACCCCAACAGGTACTGCCTCCCCTGCTACCACCTCCCCTTGTGCTGCATCTGCTGGGGTTTCTCCTGCAAGGCGGATTTCTCCCTGCCGCCTGCCCAAGTCGATCCTCACCGTTCGTCAAGAGGGGTCGATTGGACGCACCAGATCGCTTGGCCGGCTTGTCAGGTTCAACAAGGTAGCTGAAGTGCACGTCATATTGTAGTGTTCATCTATTCTTTCATATCATTTCTGTAAAGTTGGATTTGCATCTTGCCATTTAAATATGGTACTGTAGCTGTAGGAACTTGTACAGCTAGTACATATGTTTAGTCCTGGTATTTAGATACAACAAGACCTCTTGACTGATTCGCACATGGCAGTGACAATTTCTTTACATTGTGTTCAATCCTGTGCTCTTACTAACCACAGCCTGCACAGTGCTTGAATTTTCCAAGTTACAAATACACAACAATGTTTCTGTGACGTGTAACGCATAATACAGACAGAGTGTTGTTCGTTCAGCAACCAACTAGATGTTAATTTTTTTTGTCAATCAAGCAGCTCCCGTCCATGCCTGTCCCATGCCAGGCCTTTCCATCAGTGATTTTTATTTTGACGTTTCCATGCCATTCCACATCTGTTGGTCTTCACGGGTCAAGGATCCAAGGGTGACCTAGAGCAATGGACGTAGGGGGGCAGAGCAGAGGAGGAGGGGTGGCAAAAGAGTGTAAACTTGGGTGATCAGGAATATGGAACAGCAAGTGCCTTCTTTTGAGGCGCCTCAAAAGCTGATGAGGAAGATACGGAACAGCAAGTGCGGTCATGCCATGCCATTCCTCCACACGCCCAGCACCCCTCCCTCCTCCTTCCCCCCCACTCACAGAGAATCTCCTCTGCTGTGATCCTCTCATCCGGATCAACGGTCAGCATCCTCGACACCAAGTCCTTGGCAGATAGCACTTGGCAGCAGCGACCAAAAACTACCCCCCTAGCTTTCCGCCTAGCCCAACCCCTCCATCCCCCAACCCCCACTCACTGAGAATCTCCTCTGCTGTACTCCTCTCATCCGGATCAACGTTCAGCATCCTCGACACCAAGTCCTTGGCAGATAGCACTTGGCAGCAGCGACCAAAAACTACCCCCCTAAATTTCCGCCTAGCCCAACCCCTCCATCCCCCAACCCCCACTCACAGAGAATCTCCTCTGCTGTGATCCTCTCATCAGGATCAACGGTCAGCATCCTCGACACCAAGTCCTTGGCAGATATCACTTGGCAGCAGCGACCAAAAACTACCCCCCTAACTTTCCGCCTAGCCCAACCCCTCCATCCCCCAACCCCCACTCACTGAGAATCTCCTCTGCTGTGATCCTCTCATCCGGATCAACGGTCAGCATCCTCGACACCAAGTCCTTGGCAGATAGCGACACGATCGGCCACGGCGCCGCCCGGAAATCCACTCTGCCGTCCAGAATTGCCTCGAAGACGGCCTCTTTGGTGGGAGCGCGGAAGGGGAGGAATCCCGAGAGCAGCAGGTGCAGCAAGACTCCGAGACTCCAAATGTCAGTCGGAGAAGAGTAGGTTTGAGCGAGCATTTCAGGGGAGAGGAAAGAGGCCGTTCCCACTATCTCACTGCATGTTGTTCCTGAAGTTTGGGGTTCAAAGTGGTGCAAAGCAGTGCAACACGAAGGGGTGAAAAGGGGTGCAAAAGGGAGGAATCGCCTCGAAGTCGGCCTCTTTGGTGGGCGCGCGGAAGGGGAGGAATCCCGAGAGCAGCAGGTGCAGCAGCACGCCCAGGCTCCAGATATCGGTGGGGCAGGAGTAGGTCTGGGCGAGCATTTCCGGAGAGAGGAACGAGGCCGTTCCTACGATCTCAGAGCAGCTCGTGCCTGGAATAAGGAATTCAAAGGGGTGAAAAGGGGTGCAACGGGGTGGAAAGGGGGACATCCTGAGAGCAGCAGAGCAGGAGGTGCAGCAGCACACCCAGGCTCCAGACATCGGTGGGGCAGGAGTAGGTTTGGGCGAGCATTTCCGGAGAGAGGAAAGAGGCCGTTCCCACTATCTCAGAGCAGCTCGTGCCTGGAGGCTGGAGAGCGGTGCAAAGGGGTGCAAAGGGGTGTAAAGGGGTGTAAAGGGAGGAATCCCGAGAGCAGCAGGTGCAGCAGCACGCCCAGGCTCCAGATATCGGTGGGGCAGGAGTAGGTCTGGGCGAGCATTTCAGGGGAGAGGAAAGAGACCGTTCCCACAATCTCACTGCATGTTGTTCCTGTGTTGGGTTGATAATGGGTGCAGAGGGGTGCAAAGGAGTGCAGTGGGGCGATTTGCGGCAGGGAGAGAGAGGAAAGAAGGAAGGAGGCCGTTCCCAGAATCTCAGTGCAGCTCGTGCCTGTAGTCAGAGGTGCATAGCGGTGCAAAGGGATGCACAGGGAGGTAGCCTGAGAGCGGGAGGTGCAGCACGATCATCTCTTTTACCAGGAGGTAACAAGGTCGACTCTCTCAATAAACAACCCAACCCACCTGGTATGTTGACGTGACTTTTGAGAATTCTTATAAGTCATGTCAACATGGGAGGTGCAACACGATCATCTCTTTTACCAGGGAGGTAACAAGGTTGACTCTCTCAATCAACAACCAAAGCCACCTGGTAGAAAGAAGGTTGAGATGCCAATTTTACAGATCTTCACGTCCCCCCACACACCCCAGGTCTACCTCCCCTTAATACACCTTCTATCTAACCAGAGGCAACACGGTTGGCTCTAAACATCCCAGCGCACCTGGCTGGAAGAAGGTGGAGATGCCAAAATCGCAGATCTTCACGTCCCCAGGCACGCCAAATTTCTACCACCCCAGGTGTACCTCCCCTGAATAGGCCTTCCTTCCTCTCCAGAACGAATACCCTCTCCACAACCCAACGCACCTGGCTGGAAGAAGGTGGAGATGCCAAAATCACAGATCTTCACGTCCCCAGGTAAGCCTCCCCCAGAAACGTCCAAACGCTCCCCGAGCAGGATATTATCGGGCTTCACGTCGCGGTGAATGATTCCGTTGGAGTGGCACTGCAGCAGCGCCTCTGCTGCTGCCGCCACCACCGCTGCTGCCTGCGGCTCGTTGAACGGCCCTTGCTCCCTGACTGCTTGCTGCAGTGTGCCCCCCTGACACAGCTCCATCACCAGATAGACCGTCTGAATTGTTGGGGGGAGGGGATGGGAGGACCTAATTCAGGGTTGAAGTGGTGACTGAGCAGGATGTTATCGGGTTTCACGTCGCGGTGAATGGTGCCGTTGGAGTGGCACTGCAGCAGCGCCTCTGCTGCTGCCGCCACCACCGCTGCTGCCTGTGGTTCATTGAACGCCCCTTGGTCCCTGATGGCTTGCTGCAGTGTGCCCCCCTGACACAGCTGCATGAGGGGGGGGGGGGTGGGGGGCAGGGGACGAAGGGGCACGGAAGGGGAAGGGAGGGGAGGAGAGGGAGAAGAAGCATGAGTGGCAGTGCAGCAGCACCTCTGCTGCCCCAAAATATGAGCAAACGCGCAACTATCGGGCTACTTTTTGAGAATTCTCAAAAATACGAGCAAACGCGCAACTATCGGGCTTCTTTTTGAGAATTCTCAAAAATACGAGCAAACGCACAACTATCGGGCTTCACATGGAGCTTCACGTCGCGGTGTATGACGCCATTGGACTGGCATGGCACTGCAGCAGCGCCTCTGTTGCTGGCTCCTCCACGTTGCAGGGAGCCTCAAAAACTCCCTGCATTGGACTGGCACTGCAGCAGCGCCTCTGTTGCCGGCTCCTCCACTGTCACTATCAGCTGCACGATGCTGCCAGTAGCCCCTCTAGAACCCACCGCTCCCAGCACGCAGCATTGTCATACTCGTTACAAGCAGACCCACGCACCTCTGGACCTCTGGCTCCTCCACTGTCACTATCAGCTGCACGATGTCCCGGTAGCCCCTCAGCGCTTTCACCCAGTCTACACACAGCAGTATTATACTCGTTACAAGCAACCTCACTTACCTCTGGCTCCTCCACTGTCACTATCAGCTGCACGATGTCCCGGTAGCCCCTCAGCGCTTTCACCCAGTCTACACACAGCAGTATTATACTCGTTACAAGCAACCTCACTTACCTCTGGCTCCTCCACTGTCACTATCAGCTGCACGATGTGCCGGTGCCCTCTCAATGCCTCCAGCGCCCAACCTTCCTCCCAGCACACAGTCATACACTCGTTATAAGCACACAGCATTGTCATACTCGTTACAAGCAGACTCACTAACCTCTGGCTCCTCTCCTCCGCCGTCTCTATGAGCTAGACGATGTGCCAGTGACCCCTCAGCGCCTCCAAAGCCCAAACTTCCCAAGCACACACTAAGGTACTCGTTACAAGCAACCTCACTTACCTCTGGCTCCTCCACCGTCTCTATGAGCTGCACAATGTGCCGGTGCCCTCTCAGCGCCTCCAGAGCCCAGTTTTCCACGCACACTCCTTGTCATACTCGTTATAAGCAGACCCACCTCTGGCTCCTCCACCGTCTCTATGAGCTGCACGATGTGCCGGTGCCCTCTCAGTGCCTCCAGCGCTGCCACCTCGTTCTGCACGTCCTCTGCGTCCTCTGGAGTCTGGGCATGGGGGTGATGCAGATGGAGGAAAGGCACGCAAGGGGCCGAGTATGATTGTGCAACAAACCAAACCACCCTCTCAGTGCCTACAGCGCTGCCACCTCGCTCTGCACGTCCTCTGCATCCTCTGGAGTCTGGTGTGTGGATGTTGATGGGGAAAGGCACGCAAGGGGCAGCGCATGCTTTTGAGACGTCTCAAAAGGCAAGGGGCAGCGCATGCTGGTACAACGAACCAGATTAGCCAATCAGAGTGCCCTCTCAGTGCCTCCAGCTGCCACCTCGTTCTGCTCTGCGCCTCCTGTGCGCCCTCGGGGGAATTTTGAGGCGCCTCAAAATACACCTCGTTCTGCTCTGCGCCTCCTGTGCGCCCTCAGGGGTCTGGCGCGGGGGTGTTAGAGGGGGAAAGAAAGGCGGGCAAGGGGCAGTGCATGATGGTACAACAAACCAGACCAGCCAGGGAAAGTGGCTCTATCAGCGCCTCCAGAGCCGGCATCTCGCTCTGCACGTCCTCTGCATCCTCAGGGGTCTGGCGGGGAGGAGTTAGAGGGGAGGAGGGGGAAGGGGAAAAGCGGGCAAGGGGCAATACATGATGATGGTACAACAAACCAGACCAGCCAGGGAAAGTGGCTCTCTCAGCGCCTCCAGCTGCCACCTCGTTCTGCACGTCCTCTGCATCAGGGGAGGGGGAGGGTGAGGAAGGGTCTGGTTGGAGAGCACACAAGGGAAACAAGGGGCAGTGCAGTGCTTTCCTATTCAACACACAGACACACAAACGGTGCAGCTGCCACCTTGTTCTGCACGTCCTCTGCATCCTCCGCACCACACCGCACCCCACCGCACCCCACCGTCCATTACATAGCTTCACATTCCTTTGCCAATCACTTTGCACACGAATTGCTCCCCGCTCTCTCTTTCCACGCACACCACCGCATCCCCCAACGCCATAGCACAGCACTGCACCACACCGCACCCCACTGCACCGCAGCCAATCCTCCAGTGCTCACCTTCACATTCGCCTTGTTGATGACTTTACACGCGAAATGCTCCCCACTGTCCCTCTCCACACACACCACCACGTCTCCGAAATACCCCTTCCCCAGCACCTCCCCTGTCAGCTCAAACCGGGCGGCAAGGCTCTCCAGCGGCCGGCCAATGATATTGCGCCACCTGGACCGCCCAGCTGGCGACGTGCCGGGCGGCGGCGTCACCACCATTGCCGCCCCTGCCGCATCCCCGCCTCTTCCCCCAGGTGACACGTGTCCTCTTGTCATTGGTAGGCTCTGGGAGTTAGATCGGGTGTGGCCAATCGGAGTGCGCCCAGTGGCAGATGAAGAGGATCTACCTGGCATAGCCCCTCCTCCTCCAGAACCGGCACAATTACCACCTGCACCACTCACAACTCCTCCTAACCCAGGAGAGCCAGCCGCAGCAGGGCCACCACTGCTGTAGGAGGCGGTTCTTGTGTGGCCTGGGGCAGAGGGATGGGTATGCTGCCTGCTATGCTGCGGATGCTGCTGTTGCTGCTGATGCTGTTGCTGATGGTGCTGATTGTGGTGCTGCGTGTGTGGGGAATAGATTTTGCCCTGTTGCTGCTGTGGCAGCATTTTCTGCTGCTGATGGTGCTGCTGCTGCTCCTGATGGTGTTGGTGGTGGTGCTGCTGCTGCTGATGGTAGTCGTTTGAAGGTGAGAGCTGGGAGGGATGTTTGGGGGAGGAGCACACACGCTGCGGGTGCTGCGAGGGGGATCTCAGATTCTGGCCTTGAGTCGAAGGTGACCGAGCCATTCCCAGCTGCTGCTGCCTCTGTTGGGAGGGCGAGGGTGTGGACTGGTGGAAGGATTGGTGAGACGACTGCTGTGGGGAGGACACTCCAGGAGAGCTCTGATGGGGATAACCTGTAGGTGGTTGTTGAGGGGAGTAGCTAGCAGACCGGTGGTGGGGAGAGGAGGAGTATTGAGAAGGATGGGCTGCGGAAGTGTGTCTTGATGGGGTGGTGTTGTGGCTACTATGGTGGTAACCACCTATATCATCATCATAATTATCCTCAGCAGCAGCATAAGCATCTTGGTGGTAACCGTCCCGCTGGTGACTGTCTTCTTGGTAACCGTCCTGCGGGTAACCATCGTGGTGGTTACCTTCTTGGTGGTAACCATCCTGAGCACCTATATAAGCATCCTCGTTACTCTGTCTACTGTGAATTGCATGATTGGCATGCCCATGCCCATCCTCACCATAAACATCCCCATCATATGCCCCATCAACACCCCCATGCTCCCCAGGATAATCACCACCACCATAAGCACCACCATCACCATAATTCTCTTCGTTATAATGCCCCTGGTGGCCGGCTGCCACGTCATCAGGATGCGCATGAGGATCTTGTGCCAGCTCAGCAGTGACGTCATTGTGGTAACCAGAATCTTCGCCACGTCCGTAACCATAACCTCCCCTCCCCGGTGGGTCAACCTCGTATGCGCCCTGCCCTTCATCCTCCTCTTCTGCTTCGTCCTCCTGCTCCTCCTCCCTCACTCCCTCCATACCCATCTCCTCTCCACCTCTCCCCATCTCCCTCACTCCATCCTCTACATACTTATGCTCCTCCTCCCCATACCCATCATCATATCCACCACCCCCATGCCTATCACGGCCCAATTCCCGCTCTTTATAATCACCCTCCACATTGCCTCTCTCAACATAGTCACTCTCCCTCTCTCCACTCCCCTCGCTATTGTACCCTTCCCCACCCCCACCAGCCCTCCCCTCTCCTCTGCCCTCCTCCCTTTCCCCTCCTCGCCCTTTCTCCCTCCACTCCTCCCTCCTCTCCCTTCCACTCCCTCCCCCCGAACCCCTAACCCCGTCCCCTCTCCCCCCAAAACCCCTTCCCTCATCCTCTCTCCCCCCATCCCCTCTTCCCCCATCCCCTCTTCCCCCATCCCCTCTTCTCACAACCCCACTTCCTCCATTTCCCCTACCTCCATCCCCTCTTCCCCCGTTCCCTCTCTCCCAATCATCTCGCAACCGCCATTCCTCCTCCCCATCCGCCTTTTCGTATCTGCCCTCCCCCCTGTCCCACTCCTTCTCCCCTTCCCTCTCCCTCTCCCTCTCCCCAACTCTTCCCCCATCTCTCTCCCTATCCCGCCCAGCCCCCCTCGGGTCGTACCCATCGTCATCATCCCCCCTCCTCCTCCTACCATCATAATCATCATCCCTCCTCCTATCGTCATACTCATCACCTCTCCTCCTTCTGCCCCCATCATCACCACCATCCTTCCCCCTCCCACCAGCATCATACTCATCATCTCTCCTCCTCCTGCCTGCATCATCATCATCACCCCTCCTCCTCCTGTCCCCATCATACTCATCATCTCTCCTCCTGTCCCCATCGTAGTCCTCATAAGAAGACTCAGATCTCGAATCATCATCATACCCTCCTCTACCCCTCTCAACCTCATCATACCCATTCCTTCTCAGCCTGCTGCTTCCCCCCTTTCCACCTCCTCTCCCCCCTCCCCTCCCCCTTCTATCGGGGGATGGGCTACGGCTATGGTCATCATACCCCTGACTCCCCCGCCCGTCTTCGTCTCTATAATGCTGACGCGGCGCTGACGTGGCGGCCCCCCCGAGCGGTCGCGCGGGGGAGCGGCTAGGGCTGTTGTCCCCCGACTGCCCCAGCCCGCGGGAGGGAAGGATTCGCTGCCGCGGATCCTCCCCCCTCCGCGCGCCCACACCTCCACCAGGCGGCGCAAAGCTGCCCCTAGCGGGCATAGGCGCGGAATTAAGCGCGCGCCTATCTTCCGAAAACGCCCTGCGCAAGTGCAGGTCCCCCCGCGGGCCAGCAGCCATTCCGCCCATGCTCCCCCGCCCGCCTCCTCCCCCGCCTCCGCTGCTGCCCTCCCCCGCGTACCCATACGCGCCCGCGTGCCCGGGGCTGTAATTTCCCCCCACCCCCCCGACCGGCCCCATCCCCCCCCCACCCAGGTTAACCCGGTCGTTCTTTTTCATCGCGCTTAGTGACCGCGTCAACCGGCGGTCCGGCGGCCGGCTAAGCAGCATCTTTACCTTTTCCGCCGCTTGCTCCGTCCGCGATAGAACCTTCGCCAGGTCTTTATTCCCACCCGGTCCACCTGGCTTTCCTGGCCTCCTCCCTACAGAGTCGTAGGGAGAACCTGTTCCTAATGCCCCTCCTGCTCCCCCTGCTCCTCCTGCTCCTGACGGTCTGTACATCACTCCAGGGCCCTCCATCGAACGCGATCTAAGAACGCTTCCTGATTGACCCATTTCGCGGCACGATTGCGACCGCTTAAACGCGCTGTCCCCTCTGCCGACCCACTCCGGCACGTGCTGCGACGAAAACACCCGCGTCGCGCATTTCCGCAAATCCTGCGGCGCGGGTGGCTTCCCATGCAGAGGCGGACCGTGCGCGTCCCCCCGCCTCGGCGGAAGCCCTTTTTTCCCCATATGCGGAATTTCAAGTCCGCCGACTTCCTCGAAAGGGGAGGCGGCGGGCGGGGGAGCGTTAATTGGCGAACCTTCCGACTCCGATTTCGTAAACCACGCCATGACCTTTGTCTTGGACTTAACCATTTCCTGCTCCATCTCAGCCAACTCCTCCGCCGTTAACGTCACGTCACCGGCAGCTTTCTGACTGACGGACCGGTTTAAGCGGCCGTGCGGGGGCGCGGGTTGCTGGCGCGTGGCGGGAGCGGCGGGATTGAAGGTTTTGAAGTCCATTGATTGGGAGGATACTCCGATGGATCTGGAACGGCGGAGATCGGTGCCGCTGCCGACACTCTGCCTGCGCGGGTCCATCCGCTTCGACATCGTCGTTAGTTTCGAAATGCGGACGGAATTAGCTAGTGAACGTCAAGCCGCGTAGGGGGTGAATGAAACCCTAGGTTACTAAGGAAACGAAGAGACTAATAGATAATTGGTGTGCTCGCATATCCAAAAATGCAAGTGACAGGGAAGAACGGTATAGGCGTAGGTGTCATCAGCTGCCACTAGCGAAGCTGTCTTGACTGAAACGTGTAACTCCGTAGTTCCGAAAACGCATAAAGCGGGACAGCTGCAACGCGTGTGCCGAGCTACAAACTTGCCGGGAATATCCAAACACATTCTAAACTTCGTCGAAAATCTCCATTTGCTTCCTAACATGCCGTCAAAGTGAGGGCTTACAAAAAAGTCACGCGAGACTTACACAGAAGCCATACGATACGACCTAGTACATTGTGGTAGGAGTAGATCCCATCCCATGTTGTTCCTAAACTCCACGGCTTTATCTCCAACCTAGGGACTAGGTCACATGGCGCATAGAAGGTGGGGTGGGGTGGGGAGCAGCGGAAGGCAACCCCAAGTGTCTCCAAACCAAACGCAGGGAGTCCAAAGGATGATATCGAGGGAGGTTCCGAGCCAAAATCCCTGCCACGGAGCCGGCTCGGGGAAGCAGGTGTATTCTCAGGCCGAGGGGGAAAAGCCGCCACATGAAAACATCCTCTGCTCACGTTACTCGGGCAGTGTTGCGAAAAAACATTATCTCGCGAAAGAACTCGGTTGCGTAATTCGTCAACAAGATCTGACGGAAGACGAGGAATTATGCAAAAATATGCACGTTTTCTCCTGTAATGGTGCCATTGTGCTCGGAAAGCGGTGGCTGGGGGCAGGTGTGGTATGCTGGTTTGGTCTCAGAGAACATAGGCTTGGCTTCAGGTTACCCAGGTCAGGACTCCTTGGCGAAAGGCTTCGCACGAACCGCCTTCAGATTCCTAGGGAAACGGCCAAAGGCTCCAACATGTCTCTTGTCCGATTGCCGTAGTTGATAAAGGGCGGGGTATCCTCTATTTGAGCCTTATCGAGGTCTTTCTAATTACAGATTGAAAATGTTTTGACCTCATATGCTCACTATGTTCCTTCTGATGACAAGTGCCTTCTTCACCATAGCAGCCTTATCGTAAGATCCATACTGTTATTTTTCCCGGAAAACCAGAGGCATCTGTGGATCGCATTTCGGCATCTTATTTGAATCTCTGGCTGGCTGATGTATGTCCCGAGTGTAGCAACGTGTTAAGAAGGAAAAAAAGGGGTTGCATTCCTGTAAGGAACAAGGCACAGTCACAATCGAGTATTAATGTGAACGGTCGAGTATGAGCATGTTTAGGCCGGGTCCTGTTCGGCGAGTATGAGTGATGAGTTTGGTTTGTCACTGGTCGACACCAAAATTTGGGACAAGCCGTTTTTGGGACAAGCGAAAACAGACAGATGACCCAAAAACAAAATAACCCGCACCATAACCAACTACGCTTCCGTAGTTATCATTCGTTCCTTCGCCAGTCACCACCTGTGTTTCCAGAGCCGCTGTAGAGATTTGCGAAATCGCGAATCGTCAACCTGTGGTGTCTGTCTTTCGTCGACGCTGGTCGATAATTTCTTCTAACCTTGTTTAATATTTCTGCAGACTCCATGCTACAGTATCAGCGTTGCAAGACAAGCGGGAACGATAAGAGAGTCGTCGTGTCAGCCGGAGGTGCTCGGAGAATCTTGGGACGGGACACGCTGCCAACTCCTGGACGCCTGACAGTACCAACCCCTTACCCTTAGCACCGAACTGAACCGTTCATTTCTCTGGCGCTTTTTGAGCTTCCTGCCAACATGGCGTATTCCCAAGGTGTCTCTGCCACTCTGTCTTCATTACTAGGACAGACTAAGTCCAGCTGGAACTTCCTGACTCGTTTTCCCTGATTCTAGGTCTGTCTACTTGTGTGATCGCAGGTAAGACAGACCTAGAACAGTCTATGGAGATCGGGTCTTTCCTAGCTGGAACCCCTGACTGGGTTTCCCTTTACGGACAACACCTAGGGTCTTTTCTGGTATAGAACCAGCATTGCACAAATTCTGAACGCGTCCTGGTTGAGCAGCTTTCCCATCGCTGGCTGGCAGTCCAGAGCTACCATGGCGTCTAGGCCAGCTAACGGTACAGCAGGCCAGGCGAGCACGGAAGTCGATTGGGCGACGATTGCACGACCCGATCCTCCGTTCGTTGGGGGGATTAAGGAGCATCACGCTGCCGCGTTAACCCGCTGCGACGCCGACGAAAACGACGGAAGCCACGATGACGACTTTAGCGACGACTTTGGCGACGACTTTAGCGACGACTTCGGCGACGGCGACGACGATGGCGAAAGCGATGCCGAAAACGACGGTGAGTCGGACGACTCGTACGATATCGAAGAGTACCACCTCAGGGAGCGGTTTGGAAGGCCGTATGACTCAACGGTAGACGTGTTTCGTGACAGAGAAACTGATCGAAACAGGGAAAGGGATCGAAACAGGGAAACGGATGCAGAGGCCGAAATGGGTCTTGTGGAGGAACCGGGTCGCGTGGTGCAACCGGGTGGTCTCGAGGTCCCTTGGTACGAACTTCAAGAAGGCGAGAAGGAACGAGAGGAATTGGCGGAGCTCGCGGCGCGGAAGATGAGTCAGTGGAGCGATGCGGAGCTGATGGAGCTCGCAGCGGCTGTCGTTTTCTGCCGGCACAGCGGGAAAGTCACGATACGGAGCGGCGGCAGGGGGGACGTGTACTGGCGGCAGGTGTGGCGCGCGATCCGGCTCACGAACCCCGAATGGCGGCGCATCCCGACAGCGATGGCGAAGCAGTGGACGCGTATGAAAGCGCGATACGACGCGGAGACGCACGACCCGCGGCGGAAGCGGCGGCGGCGGAAGCGGGGGGAGACGGGGCGGTGCCCCGCGGAGGGGATGCCGTCGGGGGAAGCGGAGCAGCCGGCAGGGGGGGGCTCAGTTGAGCAGCGGCAGGGAGGGTCTACTAACGCGGATGAGCAACCCAATAACGAGTCAGGGGGGAACACAGGGGCGAAGGCAAAGGTGAGGGGAAGGCCCAGGGGGGGATGGTGGAGTGGGAAAAAATCAGCATGGGGACCGGGGCCAGAACCAGCATGGTTTGAGTACGTTCGACTGTTCTATGAAACTGAGCTTCAGGCGCGGAAATACGTGGCAGCCAAAAAGGCTAGAAGAGCAGGAAGAGTGTCTGCTGCTGCTGCTGATGCTGCTGCTGCTGCTGCTGCTAAGGTGTTTACGGCAAGGAAGCAACCTGCTGATATGCCGGCTTATGCGTTCCCTGAGAGCATTGGTTCAAGATGGGGAGAGACTGTAAGGCATCGGCAGGAGCAGCAGCAGCCGCCGCAGCAGCAGGGGCAGCAGCAGCAGGGGCAGCAGGGGCAGCAGGAGGGGCGGCAGCAGGGGCAGCAGCAGCAGCAGGGGCAGCAGCAGCACCAACAACAACAGCAGCAACAACAGCCGCAACAACAGCCGCAGCAACAGCCGCAGCAACAGCCGCAACAACAGCAGCAGCAACAACAGCAGCAACAGCAGCAACAGCAGCAACATCAGCAGCAACAACAGCAACAGCAGCAACAGCAGCAGCAGCAACAGCCGCAACAACAGCAGCAACAACAGCAACAACAGCAGCAACAGCCGCAACAACAGCAGCAACAGCAGCAACAACAGCAGCAGCAGCAGCAGCAGCAGCAGCAGCAGCAGCAACAGCAGGGATACAACGGGTCATTACCATTACTATCACCATCAGCGTCGCCATTCCAGCTCCCGTTCCCATTTCTACCGTTCTCGTCACCCTTCGCGCTTCTCCCTTTACCAGCAGCACCGCCACCCACTGTCTCTCCCTTTGCACCTGCTGAGAGGCAGAGGCAACCCTCTGTCTCAAGGCAACCCTCAGACTCAAGGCAACCCTCTGTCTCAAGGCAACCCTCAGACTCAAGGCAACCCTCCGACAACTATTTGCGGAGCCTACGTAACAAAGTCGCTCCGGTTCCTGCTCCCGCCGCCGCAGATCCGATTCTTGACACCATGCGAAAATATTCTGACTCGACGCAAGGACATAAGGACTCGACGCATCAGGCAAGGGGATATGGTGCATCAGGCAACAGCATGTTGCGCGTGCCTGGTAACAGGGTTACGTTTGCTGCTGGCGCTACATCCCCCCTGCCTGCTACACCTCCCCTGCCCGCTACAGCCCCCCTGCCTGCCACAACCCCACTTCCTGCTACAAATTTTCACTCGGCGAGTTATGAACCGGTATCAGCCCACAGACAAGGCACAGTAGCAGCAGCGGATGATTTGACTTCTGGGGGTGTCTCACTGCGTGAAAGGGATGGTAGAAGCGAGCAGCGAGATAGGGATGGTAGGAGGGAGCAGCGAGAGCGGAACGAGACAAGATTTCCAAGGAGGGGAGCAGAGGAACTCACAGGAGGTGGAAAGGATTCGAGCGCAGGGGTTTCGGGAGGGAGGCAGGGCGAGAGGCGGGGCAAGATGCGGGGTGAGAGGCGGGCTGAGAGGCGGGGCGAGAGGTTGGGCGAGAGGTTGACTGCAGCGATGGGTGCTGCGGTGAGAAGCGCATGCATTCAGTTTGATGAGCTCACTCGGGAGTTGCTGCATGATGCATACTCGCGGTTTGAGGAGCTTTCTCAGAAACTGGCAGAGGATGCTACAGCTCAGTTTGAGGACATTGCGAGAGGGGTGATGGAAGAGTGTGAAACAAATTGCAGCGATCACAAGAAGCGGAAGAGGAGGTAAATGCTAGAGGATGCTCGCTGAATGAGTGAGATGAAGTCTTTTGGGAGTTGCTAGAGGATGCTCACTCGCGGTTTGAGGGGCTTTCACAGCGAGTGGCGAATGATGCTAGCTTGCAGTTTGAAGAGATTGCGAGAGAGCTAGTGGAGGAGACTGTGGCGGCTTGCCGAGACGGCAAGACGCTCAAGAGGAGGTAAATAGTACTACTGATGAGTTGAATTGAATAGAAGCAAATTGGTGTTACGTAATAGAGTAACGGGAAGTGTTTTGTACTGTACAGCAGAGTCCTCGCTAGTGCCAGAACCCGCCGTTTGCATCAGATATTTGAATTTGTCCTACCGGTACCTTATAAATCATACATTTTTTTTAAAGGCTACCCTACGTTAAACAAATTCGTGGAAACCACTCTACACTAGTCAGTTCAGCTTCTAACTTATATTCTAACTACGCTACCAAGACTACGAGTCGAGGAAGCACCAACACTTAACTACTCTGTGCCAGAGTCACTGGTGAGGGTCAGGGTTGCACGGACATCTACGCCATCGTCTTCACTATCACTTTCTGGTACCTTGTCCCTCTTGCGTCGCTTCCTAATGGCAGGGTATGCCTTCTCAGCTGCCTCTGTCTCTGGTGCCACGTCATCTGCTTCTGTTGCCAGCCCCTTGCGCTTGTTGCCCTTAGCCACACCAGTGACTTCCTTTGCAGGGCGCCGCTGCCTTGCACCACGCCACAGCTTAACTACATCGTCCCAGTCTGGCTCGTACTACAGGAGAGAGATGCAGATGAGATCAGCAAGCTTGGCGTCGCAGAGGTTGCCACGAAGCCAGGGCTTGATGACGTTCTGGCGACTGAAACCACGCTCGCACTCCACTGTGCTGAGCGGTAACACGGCGACGGCCATCCACAAGCGGACGAGGTTCGGGTACGACGTCTCCCAGTCACCGCTACGCAGCATGCTCTTGAGGCCTCCGTGGAAACTCTGATCCTTGTACTGCGCGTACATCATCCGTGTGAAGCGCGGCAGTTCCCGTTCTGCCTTCTTCCAGCTGACACCTAGCATGCACAATGAAACCAAAGAAGCAGTTAGTGCTCGTGAAATGGTCAACGATGTACACATACACAAGTACAAATCAACAAATCCCGACTTCGGCTGCAATGCATATGCGTACCAAGCAAAGCACAGTAATCGCCGTTGAAGAGCGTGCGAAGGGAGCGGAACCACTCCCCAGTGATGCGATCACGCTTTGCAGCACCGTCTGGATAGGCGTCGGGCAGAAAGAGCTTGGAACCAACCATGGTCGCCAAGCTCTTAAACCAGAACTTGAGGCGGCTAACCACTTCCTTCGCAAACTTGGTGGCAAGCCGCACACACGATTCCAGATCCGGTGGTGACTCCACGCCCGGGATTTCCAGCTCGTGCAACTCGAAGGTGTGAGTGACGGCGTTGCCTTCGCTGTCCATCCCCTCCACTGTGACTTCTCGGCGAGAAGGATGCGTGCGTTCTTCCAGGAAAGCAGCGAGACGGTCGCTGTCGTCTGCGAAGTTAACACCGTACTCCACGTAGCGTGCCGTCAGCTTCAGGCAGGTGTTCTCCACCATTCCCGCCACTCAGTGACGTCCACCTGAAATAATCACTAGGAGTAGATGTAGCACAACCGATTATACGGGTCCAAGAAAGATCGTTGGGCAAGTTGGAAATAAACAGAACTCACTGCGCGCCTCTGAAACTTCCTGTTCATGTCGTTCAACTCCTTGAGGACGTCTGCAATGAAGAACAAGAAGAAGTGAAACTTCAAACTTGTCACCATGTGATACGTGTCCAGGTCCAGCTCATGCAGCAACACGATCGCCGCAGGAAGGACGACCACAAAGCGATCGATGGCGTCACCACGCGATAGCCAGCGCACGTCCTTGATACCCTTCATCTCCAGCTGCGTCGCGTGCAGAACCTTTTGGAGCTCGAGAAAGCGACTGTGGTGGACTGAGCTGTTCCCGATGAGGCTCGCCACGGAACGTACGACCTTGTCGATGATGTTGAATCCCTTCACGCTAGTTGCCGCGTCTTTAGCTACCAGCGCATCTCTTCACAACAACAAAAAGTACAGTGAGGGGTCTACGTGGATTTCCAATGTGGAATGGGACAAGCTTTTCTAAACCCAATAATACTTTCCGGTGAGCGACGCAATGTATGTGAAGAAATGAGGAATGAAAAAACTAGCAAAGAGGTGGGTACAAGTAGGAAAACCAAAAAGTGTTGTACCCCATATTGTCTATCCCACTACAGCCCACATAGACTATAGAATATGAGTTTGACACACCCCCATAGGCAAAGTGGGGGAGAACAAGAGGTCACACGACCAGTCAAGCAAAGCAACGCAAAGCTCAGGGTGGATCACAAAGTCACCACACATTCCGAGCACAAGTTCAAGGCCACAAGGCCAGTTCACATGCAAGATCATATATAAAGGCAAACAAGCAAGTGCAGGTATAGAAAGATCACAGTACAAGCAAGGTCAAGACGTGATTAAGTGAGGCCAAGTAGGCACAAGACCTAGCATCGTACAGCACCGCTGATGATCACAAGGCGGAAGTGCCTTGGTAAAGATATCAGCAATGTTGGCCTCAGAGGCCACGTAAGCAAGGCGCAGTTGACCACGCTGCTGCAGCTCACGAGCAAGGAAGTAGCGAAGAGCAATGTGCTTCGTTCTGTGCTCCAGTCTGTGCTCCCGACACAAGGCCAGCATGGCCTTGTTGTCTACGTACACAACTGGAGGAGAACGAGGCGGCTCTCCTAGGTCAGTCAGCAGGTAGGTGAGCCAGCGTAGCTCCTGTGCAGCCATGGCCCCCGCGTAGATCTCAGCCTCACAGCTGGAGCCGAGAACAGAAGACGAGCGGGTAGACCGCCACGAAACAGAGCCGGAACCAAGGTTGAAGGTGCAACCCTGTGACGGCCGCTGCGTAGCCTGGTCGTTAGCCCAAGAAGCGTCTGCGTGACCTATGAGGACCATTGAACGTCCCCCTCCAAGCACTAGCCCCATGCACGATGTACTGCACAAGTAGCGCAACACCCTCTTCGCTGCAGCCATGTGCTCTAATCGGTGTCTCTCAGGAACAACATAGCGTGCCAAGATGCTAAGAGGGTATGCAAGGTCAGGTCGAGTGCAGGTGATCAAGTACATGAGGTAGCCAACAAGCTCTGGGTACGGGCCACTCGGCTCTACGGACTCATCCGAAGGCAGAGCTGAGAGCGAGTGGCGGGTAGACAGAGGAGTGGCCTGAGGCGAGGAGTACATGAAGTAGAAGCGCTGAAGGACCTGCTGCACCATGTGTGACTGAGTCAGGGTAATGGTGCGGTGTGCTCTGTCCCGGGTGATCTGCAAGCCAAGGTAGCTGCGCAGTTCACCCAGGTCTGTGCACGTGTGTCTCTTCTGCAGCTCCGACTTCACGTGGGCGAGTCCAGCAGTGTCAGTAGTGGCAAAGACCAAGTCGTCGACGTACACGACGATGTAGAACGGCGACAAAGAGGTGTCGGTGCGTAGAAACAACGACGGGTTGGTAGTAGAAGGAGCAAACCCAAGAGCCGCAAGTGTAGTCCTCAGTGTGTCGTGCCACTACAGGGCGCCTGGCGGAGACCGTAGACTGGCCGCCGGAGGCTCCACTGGGTACCAGGAGGAAACGAGCCAGTGAAGCCAGATGGGCGGTGCACTCAGATCTCCTCGTGCAGGCTGCCCTGTAGAAAATTTGTGGTGAAGTCAAGGGAGTGAAGCTCGTTGTAGCGCTGAGCGGCTATGTGCAGCAGCACCCAAAGAGTGGTCATCTTAGGGGTGGGAGAGAAGGTATGAAAATAGTCAACTCCCTGCCGCTGGCTGAAGCCTCGAGCCACGTAACGCGCCTTGAAGACAGGCGGAGAACCCGACGGCCGCTTCACCCTAAAAATCCACATGCCACTGACGATGTTCACCCCAGGTGGGGGAACCTCGTCGACGTAGTTGCCTGTGGACTTTCAGGAAGCCATCTCTGCATCCATGGCTGAGTGTCACTGTGAGGAGTAGGGACCCTCGATCGCCTCAGCGTAAGATCGAGGAGTCGGGATGTCTGGTGCATCCGGGTCTCCCTCAAGGGCTATCAGCGTGGACACAAGATGAGGCAAAGCAGCAGCAAGACACTGGAACTCCTTCTGCTTGTCCTCAAGGACGTCCGTGCTAAAAGCACACTCACCCTCGACGGACGGAGGACAGACAGACTCAGACTCAGCAACAAGACTAGCGACGTAGTCTAGACGACGGCGAGCAGCAAAGTCGACAAGTTAAGCAACCAAGGCCGACGCAGCTGTGGACTCAAAGGAAGGGTCAGTGACAACAGTAGTCAGGAGACGCGTGACGGTAGGACTGGCAGCACGAAGAGAGTCAGACTCCGGGTCAGCAAGGACATGAAGAGAAGACTCTGGAGGAGATGGAAACGGGACACGCAGAGGAGCAGTGGAAGGACGTAGTGCCATCTTGTGAATGCCTGGGACCGCAGGAGGACGCGGATGCGGAGCACGACGACTAGTGCGAGCAGCACGAACAGGCGACGCAGGACGAGATGCAGGCTCACGACGCTCAGCAAGACGTCCAGTAGGACCAGTGTAGGGAGAAGGAGCAGGTTGGGGGGAGGCAGGCTGTAACTGTGACCGTCACAAGACAGGCTGTGGACACTCTAAGGGAGGAGCAGGACTAGTATAGGACGGGAGACCAAGAACCTGCTCAAGGTGCGGAACTAAGTACGGGAGCGGCCGCGCAGCGCCTCTAGAACCAGCAGGGACAGCACCAGTACCCCCAGCGGCAGCACCAGCGCCAGCAGCACCTCCAGCTCCAACAGCGCCAACTCCAGCACCTTTAGAAGCACCAGCGCCAGCAGCTCTAGCTGCAGCAGCACCAACTCCAGCAGGACCGTCAGCTCCAGCTGCCCCAGCAGCACCCCCAGGCCCAGCAGCTCCTGTAGCACCAGTACGAGCACCTCCACGATCAGTGGCTCTTGTAACTCCAGTGCCGACCCCAGGGTGAGAAGTAACAGCAGCACTTCCAACTCCAGCAGCACGGCTCCAGCGCCGGGCAAATCACTCGCGCAGCTCCTCTGGAGAGGGTAGTTCCCGCCTCGACGAAGCAACCGAAGGGGCCCCAAACCAAGCATGGCCAGAGGCCACACGAGCAGACCC